ATCAGCTTTCTTCACCACATCTTCTTATTCACCCGCTTTGTCTTCAGTGGTTGTGTCTGGAAGGTGAGCATCATAGAATGCCAATTCAATAGAAAAAATATTCCTGCATTGAGGGAGTACTTGAGTGGAGGCCCAATATCCTTCTGCTATCTTAATAATAAACCTATAAATATATGCACATAAATCTATTTCCCCATTCTCATATATAAATATATTTGCATATGTACATGCCTTTATTTAGACCTCTATAAATGCCCTTTCTCTCCTCTCTTCTGTTTCCTTTGACTTTCCTCTCGTGCCAGTATCATGCTCAGTCTTCATTTGGGATTCAGTACTTCCTCTTGGTTACATTACCCTTGATCACGCCCTACCAGGCCTCCCACACTCTCCTAACCACCGATTTGGATCGCTTGTTGTTCCCTTGTCCCTGGATTTATTAACACCAGTACCCCCCCCTCCACTTTCCCCTCTCCCATGGGCCCCCAGAACTGTCGGTCCCGTTCTTTTCTCCTTTAGATTGTTCATCCAGCCTATCTTATTTAGACAGACCTGCAGAGATAATAACATGCACATAAACAAGACAGAGCAAAACTAAGCTACAATATACAAAACAACAACAATAAACCAATGACAAGAAACAAAACAAAATACCACAAGAAAGAAAATCATGTAGTTATTTCAAGGACTGTTTGTTGACCTTTAGGAGTGTTTTCCAGTCCAGTCTGTTGGGGCACCATGCCCTGGCCCCAAAGTCCACCTTCAGTATTCCCTGCGGATCTCGCAGCTCCATTCCCTTGCTTTTCTGTTGCACCCCCTTAGTGTTTTGCCTCTCTCTGGCGGGATCAGATTGGGTGCAATTCCCACACTGTATCTCCGGTGTTTTCCCCTGTAAGATCAGTGAGGACGTCATGTATCATAGTGGGCCTGGCCATGTGGTCCTATCTGTGGACTGGCTGCTATAATTGGTAACATCATCCTCAAGGCCTGATGTGCCAGGATGTGCTCCACTCTCTCCTCCTCCCCCTTCATGTGCTCCTGTGTGCTCCAATCAGATATGTCCCTGTCCCGGAGCTGCAGATTCAATGTCGTTCTTTGAAATAAATTCATCTGGGGGGAGGGGCAGGTGTCTATGTTGTAGTTGGGATTGGGGCCAGCCCCTCAGATTGTAACTATTTATGATAGTAGAAAGCCTTATTTTTCTCCCTTGGGGCAGCTGGTAATTTCAAACTACTTAACTTGTGGTTAACAGCCAATTTGTAACCACTATGCCAGCAAGGCTTCTTAAAAAGATCCTAATATAGACGGTTTGGAGTCCAGGTGGTATAGTGGGTAATGTGTTGGGCTACTAACCACAAGTTCAGCAGTTCAAACCACCAGCCATTCCTTGGAAGATGAAGCCTTCTGCCCTCATAAATTTACAATCTCAGAAACCAAAAAGAGAGAAGTTCTACTTGTCTATAGGGCAACATTAATTTGATGGCAGTGTGTTATGATAGCTGCTTATACTGTCTCTACAATGAACATTTTCATAGTTGCAATTTCGTATTTATATAGTGGTTTAAATAATGTCCTTTCATCACATGGAACTACAGAGAAGATCTATCTCAACCTTCTTGAAGATACAAAATAAATATTTGTTTAATTAATGAATAAATGTATTTCCCTGAGGTTTGATTGTGTGTGATATGTGGGGGGGGGGCAGGGCAGGCGAGGTGTGTGCTCAGGCTATTTGCTAAATCTTTGAGACATTTATGGGGTGTGTCACAGATCTTGAATGATGCATATACTGATATAACTAGATAGAGCTATCACGTCTGAACACTGAAGCTTTCACATAGCTGCTACCACAAGGTAGGATCTTCAAACGCACCTCCTACTCCTTGGGAAAATATGAGTTTCTCTGCTCCTGTAAAGATTTGCAAAAAGATTTGCAAAGTCTCAGAAACCCAATATAGGGTCAATGAATCCACTCAACGGCAGCAGGTTACTCCAAGTGAGAGTATTGGCCCCGCCTCAAAAGCACCATCTGTCCTACAGGCAGGCTGGGTCATCCAAAACATGTCTTCAAACCATGCTGTAGGCAGCACTGTCTCGTAAGTATAGAACTGGAACCACGTGTACAATTTTAAAATTTCCAGCAGCCACATTTAACTGGTGGCATTCATTTAAAATGATACTTCAGCTTACTAGGTTATCATTTCAGCATGTAATCAGGATAAAAATTATTAGTGAGATACTTAACATTTTTTGTTATACTTCCAGCACATCTCAAATGGAAGTGGTCATATTTCAAGTTCAGGAACAGCTGACTCCCAACCCTCTCTTTACAAAGAGTTTAAAACGCTTCACATTTTAATTTATTTGAGACTACAACACAGTACTTTTAGAGAGGTTTAACAAATAGTGGACTGTGCACCCTTTCAGTGAAGGTAAGGTGAGGGTCCCGGCTATCTAGTGCTGCTCCAATAGAAATTCTACAGTGGACTGCTTTTACAGACACATTTCCTCTCTCCAACTGTAGGAGCTACAAGTCTAATTCAGAGAGCTGACTGGAGAAGGCATTCTCTTTCAGCTCTGAAGAAAGGTTCTCTTCTCTTCAGCTTTTGCCTCCTGGGGCCTTGGGCATCTCAATGTCCTGCCATCATTTTAGCCCATCTCTCCTCTGCTCCCTTGTTTAATCCCTTACTAAGTCTCTAAAGACATTTACTAAAGAGTTCCACCTCACGAACCCTGTTTAATTAATTTACCAAAAATAATCTATTCCCAAGTGGAATTATAACCATTCAACACAAAACCCAATGCCCACTCATAGCAACCATATAAGACAGGTTAAAAATGCCCCTGTGGATTTCTGAGACTATAACCTTTTAAAAAAATCATTTTATTGGGGGGCTCGTACAAGCCTTATACAATCTATCCATCCATCCATTGTCTCAAGCACATGTGTACATATGTTACCATCATTGTTTTCAAAGCATTTTCTTTCTACTTGAGTCCTTGATATCACATCCTCATTTTTTCCCACTCCCTCCCTCATGAACTCTTGATAATTTACAAATATAACTTTTTATGGGGATAGAAAACCTAGTCTTTCTCCAGAGGAATGGCTGGGGGTTTTGAACTGCTGACCTTCCAGATCGCAGACCAACACATAACCACTGAGTTTCTGAGGCTGTAAGTCTTTAACGGGGCAGAAAACATCATCTCTCGCCCTGGAGCACCTGGTGGGTTTAAATTACTGACGAGGTTAGCAGTTCAATGTGTAACTAACTCACTGTGCCACAGGGCTCCCCCAACAAACACAGAGATTAGGTTTTACAACACATATTTTTTGGGGGGCATAATTCAACCCACAACAGCAAAAGCAAACAGAAAGACTTGAGTTATGATTATTTGTCGAAAAATAATAAAATGAAATAAACACCTCATATTTCAGTTTATTCATTTTAAGGATCTTTATTTTTAACTTGAAAAAGTACTATCAAGTACAATTTTTAAAATATAAGAAAAGTCAGAAGTCATTGGCTAGAAATGATTTTGGGGGTGGTGCACTTGTAATAAAATCAGTGTTGATAAAATTCCCTTGGGCTACAGAAAAAGGAAGCAAACGTTTAAACATTGAAGAACAAATATATGCTTCTCTTTTTTATCCTTTTGTTTCTATGTCTCCCCTCTGCAAGAAGAAATGAAAGTAAACAATTACACACAATTAACCAGAAACTGATTTTCTAAGTCTAAGGAAACAACCCCCTGTGTCTGCTATATTTGTGTGCTCCAATTTACCCTTTGGTATCAGGTTGCTTGTGCACTTGATGGCTTTGAGCATTTGATCATTGTCTAAGTCATAAATGCTTGGTGTTTGATTTTTAAGAGACCATCGGGGGCTATGTATAGATTACTTCTTAGAAACCTGTGCTATTTCTTCAGATGGTTCTTCCTTACCTTTCAGGACCTTTGGTTTCCACAATTATTTAGATGGGAAGGAGGCCTTTAGTATGAAACAGACAGCTGTGAAAATGTAAAATAAACAGAAGAAAGAAAATATTAATCATCAGAATATATTCAAAGAGAAGATATTTCTTAAGATTTAATGGCTGACTCGGTGATAAACCAAGTATCTTTCTTTTTGTCTGTCATGTGAAAGATGGAAAAATCAAATATTTATTTAGATAAGGAGAGGAATAATTAAATTTAGTCTTACTTGGAGTTTTTTACTTAAAAAAATTTTGTCTAATAGGCATTGTCTCCTCATTGGTATCCAAGATTAAATTTGTGTGGCCAAGTGATGAAGGCCCCACAAGAGTTGAGAAACCATTTTCTAAATAAGAATGGTTTCCATTACTAGGCCTGATACATCTACCATACATACCTGTAAATCTCACAGGTATGGGACACAGGACCTCAAGAACAAACAAGCAGCCATGAAGCAAGTATTTCATTAACATTCTAAGTAAGTTGAACTGAATTTTAAATTTTAAAACTTCCTTTACACAAACTTTTTCTCCTTTCATTTACTGGGGGAATTGACAAATAAAATTAAAGTTCTCAGCATCCAATAACTAGCAGTAGAGTGAGTGATACTCAAGGCTATCTGGATTCAAAGTTACCGTAAACCAAACCAAAACAAAAACCACAAAAAAGCAAATCCAAACTCTGCGATTGAGTCAATTCCGACTCATAGTGACTGTACAGGACAGAGTAGAACTGCCCCTGCAGGTTTCTAAGCCTGTAAATCTTTATGGCACAGAAAGTCTCATCTTTCTTCTTTGTTGCAGTTGGTGCATTCTAACTGCTCACAATGCACTAGAACACCACGGATCCTTTACATTGACCACAGATACCTGGGATTTCTGGGACTTCTCTCTTCTGAGTCCAGATTGGTTTCAGGTTCCTGATCTATAGTTTCTGTCTCTTTGTCTGCTTCTCCTTCTTTCTCCTCCCCACCTTCTGCATTCTTGGCCTCTTCAGCAGAGTTGTCAGGCTGGTATTGAGTCATTTCTTTAATGAGGAATAGTACAGATTTAGGGACAGATATTCATGGAGGAAACATCGCAACTAACAACCCAGAGTGACATCCAGGTCTCTACCCTCCCAAGAAGAGAAGTACTCTACTACTGGGAGACACAGCACCTCCACAACCCTCACATTTGTTGCTTGGTAGTTTTCACAGTGGCGTGATTTCCCTTTTTCCAGAAAATGCCACTAAGTATATGTAGCCCTTTGGAGAATGAAGGATCAACTCCCTTGGATTTGACTACATTCTGTATGTTTTGGTCACCTTTCCCTGGGAAAATATTCATTTGCGTCAAAGGACAATTTTATGGTGAAGCTCACAGTGTCTCAACCCTCTGAATCTTTAAAATTTACCAAGAACTATTCTATCAGTTCCTCGTATCTTGGGATCAACTTTCCTATAATCTTTATATTTTCAAAAGCCATTCCGTTCGACAAAATTCAATCCAGCATCTATAAATATAATGCAATTCTGCTTTAGATACCAGTATCATTCTTTAAAGAGATGGAAAAAGTAATCATCAACTTTATATGAAAAGGGGCCCAAGATAAACAAAACAAAACAATAAAACCAAATTAAGAGGCCTCTCACTTCCTGACCTTAAAATCTCCTATAGAGCAACAGTAGCAGTAGTCAAAACAGCCTGGTACTGGTACCAGAGATACATAGACTAACTCTGTCCACCTGCAGACAACTGACTTTTTGCAAAGGGTTGAAACATACGAAATGGAGGAGAGCCTCCTCAACCAATGGTGACGGACAAATTGGATTTCCATTTACTGAAGAATGAAACAGGACCCACACCTCACTCCATATACAAAAATGGAATCTGCATGGATTAAAGACTTAAATGTAAACCTAGAGCTATGAAGATCCTCAATGTGAAAATAGCAGCAAACTTAAGGGCCCTAACACATGGCATAAACACACGATCAAATACAACCAAACTTGCACACACAGAAGATAAAACATATGGCTGAGGCTTCCTAAACATTAAACATTTATATGCATGAAAAGACTTCACCCAAAGAATAAAAAGAGAACCTACACTGGGAAAAAATTGGAAATGATATATCAGACAAGGGACTAATCTCTAAAATCTACAGAAACTACAAGACCTCAAAAAGCAAACACCTCAAAATCCAAGTTAAAAAATGGGAAGAGGACGTAGATAGTTTGTTAAAGAAGACAGACAGGCAGTCAACAAATATGAAAAAATGCTCATGATCAACAACCACCTGAAAGATGCAAATCACAATAACATTATACTTCCTCACCACCTCACTCTGGCATTGATAGCAAAGTTTAAAAATAAATATCAGAAAATAATGCTGGAGAGGGCCCAGAGATATTGGAATCATCATCCAATGCTGGAACTAACACAGCATTCCGTAAAAGGCTACAGACTGTAAAACTGTACATATTAAACTGTAAAACAGGAATGGGAGAAATTTTTAACAATGAAAGTAAAAAATTCCCTGAATCAAATGTGAATAAAAGTACAACAAAGTAAAGCAATGAGAACACAACAAAAGCAGTGCTCAGAGGGCAATGCAAGGTACTAATCCCTAAAACCTATAGAAATTTCAACACCTCAAAACCAAACACTTTAAAATCCTAATGAAAATAGGCAGAGGACATAGTCCATCAAAGAAGACAATCACTCTTCAAACGTGAAGAAAACGCATGTATTACTAGCCATATGAGAAATGCAACTCAAAATAACAATGAGATACCTCCTCACCAACTCACATTGATGGCAAAGTTTTAAAAAAAGCAAATAACAACAGACAATAACAATTCTGGAGAGGGCACGGAGATATTGGAACCATCATACACTGCTGGCAATGACATATCAGTCCATGAAATGACACAGACTGTAAAACAGTACATATAAGAAAATTAAGCAATATAACCACTCTGGAATGAGTATGGCACTTTCTTAAACAATGTGCAATAGAAATACCTTAAAAGTCAGCATTTGTAGCACATGGTACATGCCCTAAAGAAATAAGGAACACAGCACAAATAGATATATGCACACCCATGATCATCCTGCCACTATTAACAATAACAAGAAGATGGAAATAACTTAAATGCCCACCAATGGAAGAATGGGAAAGTAAACTTTGGTACATACACACAATGGAATTCTATACAATGGTAAAGAATAACGATGGATCTGTGAAACTCCTTGTGAGATCAGTGGAATTGAAGGACAATATTCTGAGAGAAATCAATCACAAAAGACAAATATTGGACCAAAAGAAACAGACTTTTACTGTTATCAGAGGTGAGAGGGGCAGGGAGGGAAGGGGAAATAATAAACTCAAGGGTAGACAGGTGCTGTCTAGGGTGAAGAGGAAAATATCCTACAAGAAGGAGATGGGAAAGGCGGGAGAGAGGGAAATAGGGCAAGTCATTGGGAGGTAGCTGTTGGACGCAAAAATGATACTCTAATCTGTAAATCCTTTAATTCACAATAAAAAATTTCAAAACATTAGTAACAGGAGATCAAGGAAAAGAATTAAAAACATCTCAATAAATAATTCAGGATAAAAAACTGCTAGATAACGGAATAAAGTAAAACATATCCCTAAATCAAATGAGAATAAAACTACAATAAAGAAAGACTGTTGGGGTACTGTGAAAGCAGTGATCAGAGGGGCAATACATCAAAAAATCATACCACCTCAAAGAAGAACCCAATCAACACCTTAACTGAACAACCTCAACAAACAGGAAAAGAGCAGCAAAATAAGTGTATAGACACCACAAGAATAATACAGATTAGAGCAGAAATAAATGAAAAACAAGAGAAAAAATCAATAAGACAAGAAGTTGGCCCCTTGATAGGATTAATAGCACTGACAAACTACTACCAAGTCCAGCAAAAGAAAGAAAGTGCAAATAACAGGTGTGAGGAGTGCAAAAATAGGTGACACCACAACAGAACCAACTGAACGAAAACGATGAACAACAGTACTCTGCCAAACCTAAACCTAAACGGACAGATTGAATTTCAGTAGACAACCTGTACAGACCTTAAACAATTAAAGTGATCCCTCCCCTCTGCCCCCACCCCCCAAAAAACTGGTCCAGATGGAGCAGTGGTGAATTCTACCAAACCTTGTGAGAAGAGCTGACACCAATTCTACTCAAATTTCAGTGTGTAGAAAAGGGGAAACTCCTGAATTCATTCCAAGAAGCAAGCCAAACACTGAGACCCGAACCAGGCCGAGACATCACTGAAAACGAAAATTATACACCAGAAACCCTAAAAAAAAAACAAAAAACCCCAAATTCTCAACCAAATCCTAGCCAATATAGTCCAATGATGAGAAACCAAAACCAAAAATAAAAAACAACAACCAAATCTTATGCCTACTGTCTTCAAAGATGTTTCCTTGCTCAACAGCAAAGCAAAGCCACCCACAGTCTTCTCTTCCTCCAGGCTTTTCTGTGGGCCCCTCCCACTGCCCCCATTCCTATCAGAAAGGAGGGAATTTTGTTTTCCCCTGGGATTTATTGGGAAAAGGTGGGTGCTGGATTAGGCACTTCGGGCGAAGTCAGCTCTTCCCCATGGAAAAGTGCGGCGAAGCCTGTCTACCTGCCACCAGCCTGCCCACCCACCCCTCGGCCTCCACCACTCACACCCCTGCCTGGCCTCCTCAGCCTCCCCCGGCAAGCTCACCTTTAGAGGCTGTGGACTGGTCTGCGGGCCCTGCGGCCTCGATGGCAAGCCTGGCAGTGTTGATGGCTCCGAAGGCAGGCAGGACCATGGGCAGGGCAGGCAGCACCGGTAGCTCAGGCAAAGCAGGCAGCAAAGGCATCGTGGGCTGTAGGCTGGCCCCGGGCAGGCCTCCTTGGGCTCTGCCGCGGTGGACAGGCAGCGTGGGCAGCGTGGGCTGCAGGGTCGCCCAGGGTAAGCCGAGGTCCCAACCACGGTGGGCAGGAAGCACAAGCAGTGAGTGGGAGCCATTGGGCATGCCTCTGCGATGGCGCACGATGATGCGGCCACTGCGGGAGCGGATGAAGACACAGTCTTGGTAGTAGATGCGATACAGCAACGAATGGGCGAGGTCCAGGAACATGAAGTGGAAGCCGGCCATCGTGAAATGGTGGCTGTTGCCCATTAGGGCCTGCTGGCGCACCTCTACAACCTCCCCTGCATTTCCTGGCAGGATGTTGGGCTCCTCCCCGCCATTGCGCTCCTGGTCGCCCTGTACTTGCCCTGCCACTGCCAGGCCCTCCTGGGGGCCCTCAGCTCTAGGCCCTGGGCCCCCCACGAATTCAACCCTGCCTGTCCCCACGGGACCCTCCTGAGCCCCCACGGCCTCCTCTGGCTCCTCGGTGTCCGACATGTCAACAAGTCCTACCTTTCACCACACTGGAGTTTGGGCTGTAGCAACCACGACGGTTACCCCACTGAAATGGCGGCGAGGCTCACAGGCGGCCCTCTAGGGGGCAGCGGCCTATATATCCGGGTTTCCCAGAGCCCCGGTGTCTGAGGAAGCCCGGCAGTAAGGAGGCTGGGCCCCAGTAGCCTTCTACCAAGGTTACCGTCAAACTGCCTGGAGGGAAAGGGGGCAGGGCCAGAGAACGTTAACAATTGTCGCCCCTTTGTTACGATTCGTAACCTCATTTGCTGAGAATAGTGGATTGACATGTGTGTTACCCAATGAATGATCAAGAGAACAGGGCAAGGGGCGGGATGAAAAAATGGAGGATTTAAAAAGATATTGTTAATTTCACTTATTGAGATGTGTTGTGTAACACACACACACACACACACACATTTTAAAAAACCCACCAAAAAATTGCTCCAGATTCCTTATCCTTCAAACCTAAATTGTGTTTGAGCGGCTGAAGATAAAAAAAAGAGGAGGAAAAATGAAATGTAAATAAGTTTGGAGTCTAGTGACAAACAAGTTCTTTTAAAAAATAAAGAAAAGAACTATCGAGGCTCCTCTCTGCTACATCCTCAGAGTTCTTGAGGCTCTGGTGTCGAGGAGCCTTTAGGTCCACAAAGCCCCTCCTGTACTATTGTCAATAGAACACTTAGTGGCAACTGGAGGGCATGCTCATTGTGAGGCAGCCCAGCGGCCACTGGGTGATGGATCCTGCCTGAAGTCACAGTCTCTTTTAAAGGTATGCATTTTAGGGTCAGCATTAGTAGATACCTCTCAGAACACATAAAAATTTGAACGATTTAACGTGATCAAAGCTACTTGGGAAAATGCATAAAGTTGGCATGAATGCTGTCAGAACTGGGTGTTGACATGGTAAATAAAGAAAGCTGGAGGCATTTAAGGAACCCTATAGAATTGTTTCCAAACTTGAAAGAATGACAAAGACGTACATATATTTTCCTTTTTTTAAAAAAAAGATAATTTATTGGGGCCTCTTATAGCTCTTATAACAATCCATACATCAATTGTATCAAGCGTATTTGTACATATGTTGAAAACTTGATTTTCTAAACATTTACTTTCTATTTGAGCTCTTGGTATCAGCTCCTCTATTTTCCCTCCCTCACCCCCGCCCACTTGTATGACCCCTTGATAAGTTATAAATTATTATTTTCATATCTTACACCTACCACTGTCTCCCTTCCCACATGGTTTCTGTTGTTTGTCCCCCTGGGCTCTTGGTGGTGGTAGTTATGTGTTGATCATTGGAATCTCTTCCTCCCTTCCTCCCCTTCCCCCCCTACCTTCATGGTATCTATACTCCCATTTCTGTTCCTGAGGGTTTATCTGACCTGGATTCCGTGTGTTGTGAGCTCTTATCCATACCATTGTACACACTCTGGTCTAGTCAGAACTGAAAGGCAGGACTGGAGTCATGATAGTGGGGGTTGAGGAAGCCTCAAGGAACCAGTGGAGTAGTGTGTGTTTCATTGGTGCTATACAATGCCCTGGTTGACTCATGCCTTCCTTGTGACTCTTCTGGGAGGAGATGTCCCATGGTCTACAGATGGGTTTCCGGTCTCTGCTCCAGCCCCCACCCCCACCCAGCCAGTTCTCAACAATTTGTTTTTATGTTTTGTTTTGGGTCTTCTGGTGCCTGTTACCTGATTCCATTGACAACTCATTATCGCACAGGGTGGTGTTCTTCTTCCATGTGGGCTTGGTGATTCTCAGCTAGATGGCTGTCTTTTAACTTTAAGCCTTTAAGACCCCAGATTCTATATTTTGATAGCCAGACACCAACAGTTTTCTTCACCACATTTGCTTATGCACCCATTTTGTCTTCAGCGATCATGTGGTGAGAGTGAGCATCACATAATGCCAGGTTGTTAGACAAAGTGTTCTTGCGTGGAGGGATGGCATGAGCAGAGGCCCAAAGTCCGTCCACTTCCTCAATGTATTGTCATACAAATATATGTACATAGGCCAATACCTCTATCTTATGAATCAATATATTTACATAAGTTCAAACCTATGTTATACCTCTAGCTATAGCTTTGCTTCCTAGACCTATCCTCTGTTTTCTTTTACCTTCCTCCTGCACCACCATAACCCTCACCCTTCTGCCTCTTAGTAATTCCTCTCACCTAGATTGCTCTAGCTCCAACAGCACTGGGATCTCTGCTTCCTCCTCATTGTTGCTTTTAATTCCCTAGTTGTTCCCTTGTCTATTGTTTGCTCACTGCTCCTTTACCCCACCTGTTCCTGCCCCCAGTTCTGTCTGAACTTTCAATCCCATTGCTTTCTCCTCAGGTTTGCTTCCCATGCCTATCTTATATAGGTAGGCAAAACAACAATAACAGAGACAAAACAAAACGCAAACAGACGATTGAATAAAAAGAGGAAAAAATATAATTAGCCACCCACCCCCGAAAAAGCACAATAATTCCAGGTCTGTCCACTGACTTTCATGACTATCTCCCCACCGGTCCTGAGGGGTTCTGGGAACTTCCCCTCCTAGTCTCAAGTCTATTTTGGGGGCGCCTGAGGGTTTTTGTGGCTTGGCTTTGCTCCCGTTGTGGTCTGTTATGAACCCTTCTTGGTTGGCTGCACTGTGGGGGTGGTCAGGCTGGACAAACTCTGCACCATGTGTCCCCAGTATTGTCTTCTGTTGCAGTATGCTCCAGCCAGGGGACATCATGTCTTGAGCTGTTGTCGGTCCTAAAGTCCTCTTTGTGCCTTAGCAGCTGCGCAGAGATGTTCTCATCAGGACTTGGTATGCCAATATGGGGTCTAGTCCCTTGCTCTCTCTTTTTCCTTCTTGGTTTGCTTCTGTATGGGCATGGTTGGCTGGCCCCTCTCCCCAACCTGTAGGTTTAGTGTTGTCCTCTGTAGCACATACTTCTAGGTGGGAGTTCAGTGTGATTCTGATTGTGCCGACTCTTTAGAACTCTTTGTTCATGAGTTGCTCCATGTGGTTACTTTGCCCTCAAGCTTTGGCCCGCTGTGGTTGTGTGTGCACTCACACTCCCATTTGTGTGGAAACAAAACGATACCCTCCCCCAGGGTGGATTAGTGCCCTGAGTCCCCAGTGCCATTGTCTCCCTCTTTAATTTTGTTCCTCCCTCCCTGCACCCCCCTCTCCCCTGCTTTGTGTTGGAATGACATGTACTTCCTTGGGTTTGGTCGGTCCTCCACCCAATTACCTGTACCTTAGCCTGTAAAATGTGAGATACATGGCTTTTCTTCTATACTGTGCTGATTATACTTACTTCAGAGGACTTATGTTGTACTTGTCCTTTTGTGATTGGCTAACTTTGCTGAAACCGTCAGGTATGGGTCATCTTCAGTAATTTTCCCCCCTATATTTTTTATGGTACCTGAAGGTGTTGGCTGTTGCTTGCCTCACATTTTGGGTGAGCTGATGATGGAGTGAAATCTTCTGGGATGTGTGTCCGGGAGGGCCTGGCTCTTGAGGTTAGGGGAGGATCACCTAGGTACTGTAAAACATATTGTGAGTAGATAAGTAGGGAGTATTAGTTGGGTGAAAAGGATGATTAGGGTTAAGTGTTCTGGAGTAGGTTTTAAGTGGTGGTAATAATAATAGGAAGCATTCCCTTAGGTATAATCAATTTTAAGGGGTTAGATAAGAGGGTTATGGTAGATGTGATTTTACTTGGTAATAAGTTAAAGAAGGCTGTGTGTTGCTGAGGTGGAAAGAACAGGTTCCAGAGGTTATCATGGTTGTGGTAGGGAGGTGTATAATGAATCTACCAGAGTCCCTTGTCGACTCTGGGTATTATGTAGGGAGAGTGTACTCTTTCTATCATTGTGCTTCAAACAGTGGATTTCTGTATAGCACAGAACAATCCGCTCCATATGGATGATCCTAGAATGTAAATGGGCTATTATAGTATATGGGAAGAGGGGCTTCTGATCAGAGGGTGATGTGACTTGTGGTGAGAAAGCCGCCGAGAAACCTGGAAATTCTGGGCTCTGTTTCTTCTGATGGGGTGAAGAATTAAGTGTTTCCTTTCTCAAAAGAAAATAGGAACACTTCTACTGACCTCCTAGAAACCTGTTGTGAATTCCAACAGCTTCTCTGTTTCCCTAGTGCTTAGATTCTCTCCAACTTGCTGGAACTATTTATCTGCAGGAGGTAACTGGGCCTTGCCTAGGGATTATCACCAACGGAAACTCTCCTCCTCGGGATGCCACATTTCCTAGAGTCTAAGGCCTCAAGGTGTCCGTGTGGGCATCTGTGGGATGCCCCCTGCAGTACAGACAGGCCCGACCACTTCCCCATTCTGGTGAACCAAAAAATGTGGGTGGGTGGGGAAGTGGGAAACAAAATAAAAGCCAGGATTTACCACTGTACGAGAAAGGGATGCAAAGTGCGGACAGGTTTTGTGTAAAGGGACCACATGCGTGACAAGCAAAGCTGCACTCTCTGTGGGAGAACTGACAAAAGAGAGCCCTGGGTTGCTGTGAGACCTGGTCTCATATCCCAGTTCCCCAACACAGCTACCTTACTTGAAAATCGGGCATTCCCAAAGCAAGCTGTTCACGCAGGTGATCCTACATCGGTGTTATCTTCCCAGAACTCCTTCCCCTAGACTGTAATTCTTTACAGGAGTAGAAAGTCCAGTCTTTTTCCCATGGAGCTTCTGTTATTTTCAAACTGCTAAACATGAGGATCACAGGCCAACATGTAACCACTACACCACCAGGGCTCCTTTAGAGTGTATCCTCAGCTCTCATAAAATATACATCTATCCTTAATAAGAACACCTCAAAACCAACTCAAGACAGGCTGCCCCTCTATAGATGAGGCCAATTTTCCATGTCAGGGAGAGAGAAGACCAATTAATACATGCCTTATAGCTATGTTCTATGGTTCCTTTAAATGAACAGACAGCCTTATAAGAGAAATCAGTAAACTTTACAGGGAGATTGGATCAAGAGGATGGGAGTCTCATGTCTGTATTGAAGGGGCCAATTGCACTTTGGAAGGTGGATGGATCTAGTGGGGCACGCAGTCATTTAAAAATGCTTATTTTGCCTGTAGATACCCCAAC